AGTATACTGTGTCTGAGTGGGGCATTCATGTTAAACTGCGGCATAGTATCTCAGTGTGCTAGCATTATTAATCGGCATCAGTCCGGACTAGTACAAGCAGCCACACACACACACACACGCATGCATTCACGTCACTATGTAAGTGCAATAATCTTGGATGCGACATTAAACCCAATTTCACTTCACCACCTCTCATGTAGCCAGGTAACAGGAGGTCTGTGTGAGGTAGTGACACCTCATTTCATGACAGACAGGTGTGTTAAGTGACAACAAGGACCTATAAATAGCACCTGATGACAACTAGTTTTGCCAGCGAATATGTTTTCCTTGTACATTGTTATGTATAATCTTCTTTTCCGATGTCAGTATGACCTGATGTTTGTTGAAGATGTTGACTCCCTGACCCTATGGTACAGCACAGTACATCAGTTACATACAGATTAGTGGACAAGCTAGGAACATAATATTTGACTGTTTGACAGTTTGGTCTGTTAGGGGAGAAAATATATTTAAGGGGTAAAATTTGCAAATTTGCTCAACAAATTAACGTTATGAAAATGAATTTGATTTTAGTTATGTGACCATTGCAACATATTGATTAGAGATCCTAGCCTCACACATCTGTGACAATCCTTTGAAAAATTGTAAGACCTTCCTCATATAAACATGATCAGAAAAACAAATCTGTATTAAAAACAAAATCAATGAGATGGAAATAAAGTTGATGTTGATGTAAAGAAATTAATATTGAATTCCAGTGGACTTTAACTGATACAACAGAAGTAATATTGGATTCACACCATTTGATAATGCTTTCCAGTGATGTTGCCCGTGCTTTTTGTGAATGGTAATCCCAGTTACACACACACAAAGATGTAACAGAGTTTCAGACAAGGCTGTATGTGACAGCTGCACCCTGGGTTTAGCCCTGACGTCAGCTGTGATGCTGGAGCCGGCCACAACAGGACCACACCACAATATGACTTGGTATATCTCTGTTGAAAGGTCAAATGTGACATTATCACAATGAGAGCAATGGCAGATATTCCTACTTAGCTGCTGTATGGCAGGGCTGATGTCCGTCTGCTTGTTGCTGTGGTACAAACAGTATCTCATGTGAGCAGGCAAGAATGAACTTAGATCTGTCCTGTGAAAGTTTGGTCTCAGACATTTTGTTTGTCCTAGCCTCTAACCCATCTTCATGTTTCAGGAATCGTTTAGTAAATGTGTTGCTTGTTAACTGTTGTTACGGGAGGAGTATTTGAGAGTTGAATCTATTTAAGCTTCCCTGCGTAACTTGATAGGAATACCGGGGTAGGTGTGACTATATTTCACATTCTCAGAAAGGGCTTGGGCTAAAATGTGATATTTCTTAATATTTTCAATACATGTCAAATCTTAACTCCCCTCACCCCATCCCCAGTGGAATTATACATATCCTTACATTAATCCAACAACTTGGTTGATGCATGTCATCGATCCCAATTGCGTAGATCTATGCTAATGATATCAAGCACTGGATTGTCTGGTCCAGATTCAATTATTTACAGACCGCTGTCGTATAACTGGTATATTGCTGAGTGCGGCGTTAAACAAACAAACATCAATCCAACATTAACTTAATCAAATCAAACCTAAAAACACACAGTTTATGTGTTTATTCTGTTGACTGGCATTAAGGAAGTTCCAAGGCACTAAAATAATTGAACCAACACCATTTTACTGATTGGTATACGGAGAAGGTGTCAACACACTTGAAGGCAGATGACAAGACAAAGGCTGTAGATCAGAGTGTGAAGCCTATCGGTGCGGTGGGCGTTGGGTCGTGTCGGCCTTTGACGATGTGTTGGGTGGGTGGCATCTGTCTGGACTGCTGGAGTGGGTAGAACTCTTGATCAAAGCAGTGATAACTCATCGGATGTCTATTGTTTAATTCCTATTCTTTGAATGACATGGTTATATACTTGTTACAACAGCTGCTCACTAAACCATGTTTGTGTTTATATTCAAGTTGGTATTTCCGCTATCCAAAGTGTGCAGTGAGGCTGTCTTATTGTTGATAGTCATTTGGAGACATAAATGCGAAGTTTCATTAATGCGAAAAAAGACCTCGCATTTTGCACATTTAATTCACATTCGCGTTAATTTCAGGATTTTCTAAATCTAAAGTTGATAGTTAGGAAGAATTGTACATACCGTAGTCGACCCAATAAGCGCCCCTCCCGTCAATAGCGGTAATCTGACCGTGGTTGCTGTTAATAACGGTGAGTTGTGGGATCCTCTGATCGCTTCACACACGATTTCGCTGAAATTAATTAAAACAATATTAAAAGGAATTTTGAATAAAATTAATGAAATAAGTTACAAACATAAGTCCAGATATACAAAGAACACTTTTTATAGCCAGACAGTGTAATTACATGAATAATTTGCGAACTTCAGTATGGATTTGTTGACATGGTATTTCCGGTGTGAAAAAAAGTGTGCACTATTCTCAAGAAAATACGGTAAGGCTTACTGATGAATTTTCGCCAATTTGAGTCTGAATTGGTCCCAATAAGCGCCCACCCCTTCTGTCTTTTTTTAAGCGCCCTGGGCGCTTATTTGGTCAAATAGGGTAAGTCATAAGCCTTGTAACGTAAGCTACTTCCTGTATTCTATGTATCATATATGTATGATAGGACATTAATGGGTCACTTTAAATACATTTAAACTTGCACAAGTTGCTAAGGAAATGATAACCGTATTCGACGTAATAAGTCCCCAGGGCGCTCTCCAAATTAGAAATAGGGGGCTCTTATTAGAAGATAATTTTGGTGAAAGGTCGAAAGGTCGTAAATTTTATGGTTTCCGCTGACAGCCCGAAATGATAGAAAAGAAAAGTCTGTGCGTATTATACAAGACAGATATATTTTTCCAGAATTTAATTGCCCGTAATTAAGGGTGCATATAACACATGAGTGCGTATTATACACGAATAAATGTACACAAATTGTGTACATTAATCAGTCGTAAGGTCGTACGGTATTATTTCAAATCATAAGGTCTAGATCATGTAAATAATTAAAACAAGTCTTTCAAAAGTCTCTAAGGTAATGATTATCAGTTTGAATCATAATTCCTAGATAATAATAATAAATAATAACAAGTTGTCCTTTTAAATGACTGGCACCCTTCATGTACTGTCGGCTCATCTAGACTTGCCTGTTATTAGGAAAGAATTACTATACATTCATAGATTTGTTATTCTGCACAACCTTGGAGAAAGGCTAGGATACATTGTGTATGGTGACTGTAAGGTCGTGTATGGTGACTGTAAGGTCGTGTATGGTGACTGTAAGGTTGAGTTTGGTGACTGTAAGGTTGTGTATGGTGACTGTAAGGTTACTAAGGTTGTGTATGGTGACTGTAAGGTCGTGTATGGTGACTAAGGTTGTGTATGGTGACTGTAAGGTCGTGTATGGTGACTGTAAGGTTGTGTATGGTGACTGTAAGGTCGTGTATGGTGGCTGTAAGGTTGTGTATGGTGACTGTAAGGTCGTGTATGGTGACTGTAAGGTCGTGTATGGTGGCTGTAAGGTTGTGTATGGTGACTGTAAGGTCGTGTATGGTGACTGTAAGGTTGTGTATGGTGGCTGTAAGGTCGTGTATGGTGGCTGTAAGGTTGTGTATGGTGACTGTAAGGTTGTGTATGGTGACTGTAAGGTCGTGTATGGTGACTGTAAGGTTGTGTATGGTGACTCCAAGGTTGTGTATGGTGGCTGTAAGGTTGTGTATGGTCACGGGGCTGTAAGGTTGTGTATGGTGACTGTAAGGTTGTGTATGGTCACGGGGCTGTAAGGTTGTGTATGGTGGCTGTAAGGTTGTGTATGGTGGCTGTAAGGTTGTGTATGGTGACTGTAAGGTCGTGTATGGTGACTGTAAGGTCAATATATGGTGACTGTAAGGTCTTGTATGGTGGCTGTAACGTTGTGTATGGTGACTAAGGTTGTGATGGGATACATGCTCTGGTGCGAGAAAACTCAGCACTTTTCATGTTATGTTATATCATAGTCTAGTGGCTGAGTGGCTGGTAGTTTGAATCAATCTATTACTGACAGTATCTTGAAGTCTCTTTTACAGACTGTCATTAGCCTGTATTTCATCTCAACCATTCCTTAAAATACCATGTGAGGTATCCTCATTATCCTGATTGTAAAAATCAGTGAAACCACATGTACACAAACCCCAGGGGGATTTCTGGTCAGAATTGGTCCTCTGCAACATATGCCTTTTGCAAGAGGCAACATAATGATTTGGATGGTCAGGCTCGGTGACTTGGTTGATTGCAAATTATTGTACCCAAGGGTGTAGGTTTAGTTGCTCAAAATATCAATCACTGGTTTGTCTGGTCCAGACTTCATTATTTTCTTATTCACACTGGATACTGGTGATCCATATCAACACTACGGTCTGTGATCCATATTGACACTATAGTCTATGGTCCATATCATCACTATAGTCTATGGTCCATATCAACACTATAGTCTATGGTCCATATCATCACTATAGTCTATGGTCCATATCAACACTATGGTCTATGGTCCGTATAAACACTATTGTCTATGGTCCATATCAACACTATAGTCTATGGTCCATATCAACACTATGGTCTATGGTCCGTATAAACACTATTGTCTATGGTCCATATCAACACTATTGTCTATGATCCATATTATAACTATAGCCTATGGTCCATATCCACACTATAGCTTATGATCCATATCAACACATTAGTCTGTGGTCCAATACTAGCACTTTTCTTGTCCCGAACATGGGATAACTCAGTTTATTAATGATAGTCCTTGAGTGCTCAGAGTCAACTGTCGATATAGTCCAGTATCCGATACACAACTCATGATGATGATAATTCAACACAACGAGGCACCTATTGTCACAGTGCACAATGCTTCAACAAATGGTTACAGCCCTGGTGGTATATCAATTGTTTTTGTTGCCAGGTAACCTCCCCCCTCACCTGTACAGCAGCACCAGCTTTGGCGAGAACATCGACGATGAATGGTTCATCGTGTACCTCCTGTTCCGGCTCTCCAGGGCGTACCCAAGTCTTGTCATCAAGTAAGTCATTCTCATTCAATGCTAAATGTGATGGGAATTGTGGGACTACTTTCCACATCCTCAACGATTGCTGAGTTATGACAATCATACACCCATGTAATGATAGTCTTTGTGTTCGTTGGTCTCACCTCTGTGGTCTAGTGGTAGAGCGTCCGCCCGGAGAGTGGAAAGTCCGGGCTTTGATCCATGGCCACGCATACCAAAAGACATTTAAAGATGTTACTTGTTGTTACCCTGCCTGGCTAAAACAATGACTGGTTGGCTCTGAGTCAGTACACTGTGTCTAAGTGGGATATTCATGTTAAACTGACGCATGGTATCTCAGTGGGCTAGCACTATTAGTCTGGACTAGTACAAGCAGCCACACACACACAGCATGCACGTCACTATATAAGCACAATAGGGGCGGTCGGGTAGCCTAGTGGTTAAAGCGTTGGCTCGTCACGCCGAAGACCCGGGTTTGTTTCCCGACATGGGTACAATGTGTGAAGCCCATTTCTCAGGTGTCCCCCGCCGTGATATTGCTGGAATATTGCTAAAAGCGGCGTAAAACCATACTCACTCACTCACTCACTATAAGCACAATAATCTTGGATGCGATATTAAACCCCATTTCACCTCACCTGCTTTTACCAAAGTGGTAAATATCTGACACCTGCATCACTTTCCTCCCCGAATAAGCCGACACGCTGTGATATGACTGGAATATTGTTTGTAAGCGGCGTTAAACCCAACTTCCTCATGAAGAGAATTATAGCACTAATATCACTTTGAGGAATGGCCATGTCATCAGGTCTACTCCTGAACATGGAAATAGAACAGTAAATGAAACCAATTTGCGTACCAATTTACAACAATAAACAGCCTTCGAAGTTCATGTTAGACCGTTACCATATTTTCTTGAGTATAATGCGCACCCCTCTCTAGTGGATTCAGTAATTAAAACAATATTAAAAGGAATTTTGAATAAAATTGATGAAATAAGTTACAAACATAAGTCCAGATATACAAAGAACAGTTTTTATAGCCAGACAGTGTAATTACATAATTAATTTGCATACTTCAGTATGGATTTTTTTACATGGTATTTCCGGTCAAAACTCATTATGGCGTGTATAATGCGCACCCCCTTCTACACAGCTGTGTTTTTGGGGAAAAAAGTGCACACTATAGAAAATATGGTAAGCAGTTTGAGATTACTAACCAGGGATTGATGTCGCTATATCCAAGCTGCACATTTATTCCCAGGTTGCAACATTGCAGTAACATTTCCCACCACAGCAGTTATATTTGTTAAGAGAGGAGAACTGAATTCTTTTAGAATTGGTTGCAATTTTTTAGATTCCAGGAAACAAAACTTCATGGAAATAGTGAAATGCACAGAAGGTCTGAATGCAGTGAACTTGCAGAACTAATTCTTCACAATTACCTCTTGAACAGTCACTCATGAGGTTACAATCACATCAAACACATATCAAGATGTGAAAAGCCATATCCAGATTCCCTAAAAATAAAATACTGGACCACATTCTCAAGTTTATTTTCTCTTTGAATTTATTTATTATTCAAAATAACTAAAAATACAGTGTTTCAATTTATGATAAAATAGTGCACCCAATATTTTGGTGGTACAACAAGATTAATTCACCTGGTTGCACCAGGTGCAGGTGGTAAAACAGAATGAAATCATACAATGCTAACTTATGAAGATGACAAGGACACATCCTCCTTGACTAGTAGAAATTGAGGGCTATAATTTCGAACCAGTTCTCAATGCTTCAATTTGGCTCCAGTTTGGAAGTCAATAAAACTGACAGAAGATGTACACATAGTAAACATGTTTGTTTTGTTCAAGCAGGACCAACTACGAACTTTGAATTCTAGTGAGATAAGGTTAACGTTAGTCTTGAAAACAGAAATTCTAATGCTGAATGAGGTGTAATACTTTTCTGTGAGCATGCTGACATTGCTGAAGATGTGACCTTGATAACCATTGTAGCGAATGAAGTTGTAACCATGGTAACATTTACTTTTTGGATTATGCTTTCTTAGTGAAGTACAAATTCTTGTACTTTATGGGGTGGATTCCGATCTGTGATTCGAATCCACACTGCCAGACTGAGGCATTTAATTGTCAGCATCCAAAGTCAGCGACCTAAACCATTCAGCCACCAAGGTGTCCACAAAATGGATGTCGAGATCACACTCCTCTGTACCCCTCTGATAGGTGTAAATAGGCAGACGGTCCGACGGTCCTTCTGATCCAAGGTCGGACGCCTTGTCCTCATGACCAAAGAGGTTAACCCCGTCAGCATGCTGACAAGGTAAGGATGTCATCTGTGGGATGACTCCACGCCCTGCTACATACTCCCCCGTCAACAGAAAGCACGTCCCGGGCCGCATAATAGGGTACTAAGGCTTATTTTGCTCAAATTTAATATGAACGTCCTCAGCCTCACGTTGGGCGCCAATGTAGCGGCCATAAATTTTCCGAGTCCCGTGATGGGATTCGAACAATGGACCTTCTGATCCGAGGTCGGACGCCTTGTCCACATGACCAAAGAAGTTAACCCCGTCAGCAAGCTGACAAGGTAAGGATGTCATCTGTGGTATGACTCCACACCCTGCTACAAATAGACAAAACCTTTTGGAAAGAAAGTGTAATCCCAAATATAACATGTTACATTTGACCACTTTCTAAAAGGCATTGTGAACCAGTTACGTTAATATAAAGTTTAAATATGTGCACAAAGAACAAGCTTTAAGCAGGTATGTAGTCCATGTGTTCCGCACCCAGAACTCGACAACATCTCTTCATATAAAACCCTTTTAATTTCAGTTCTATATATATCTGAGTATTTCAGCATGTTCAATAGAGAACACACTTGTGCCTATTCAAATATTTCAGGAAAGCACTTGTTTGATCTGGTAGAAGAAAGCGTCATTATGGAGTGAAGGACACAAGTGTGGCATGTTTCGAGCAGACATGGACGACTGTATACATATGTAAAAGTGTTCACGAAGCAGATCTTGAGTCAACTAGGGAACCGTGGGCCACTAATCTTTTTCATGTTTCCATGAAAAGGATTAGGGCAGTTCGTTGTGGACCATCTGGTCTGAATGATGACTCTTTATGTGTGAGATTGTATGCACTCATGTTGACAGTGTAAATAGAGAATGTTTTAGTACTAAAGGGGTTAATGCCTCTCTTTGTATTTCTTTTATTTGGAATTCTATTATGTCAGTTCTATCTTTTGTTTGCATATTTAAAGGAATTGAATGGAAGATTTGTGTCTTAAATATCATGCTGACTGCTTAATGTTTGAAAGGTTTTTTCTTTCAATGTTCAAGAAAGTGTCAGATTTCTTTCAGCCTGTTTTGTTTATCAAAATCTTTCATCGTCTGTTTTTTTGGTCTTGAAATTGAAGAACATGAGGTGTGATACAGGGCTTGTGTATGTGATCTAGGTGATGTTATGATAGTCTTCGCATGTGAACTGACCTTCAGTGACCCCTGCAGGTGCTTGGTGCGGGATGGTGTTGTTGTGGGGTAAGAGGTAGGCAGGCATGAAGTCAGCTGTAACCATAGCTTCCCTGTACTCAGGGCTAGGAAATTACAGGGCCTGTGATGCTGAAGACATTACATCTGATGAAGATCAGTCAACCGTCGTAATCTCGGGTTGTTATGGGGATTAAGGAGCAGAGTGGGTCCCCGTAATACCTGGTACGCTTGTCTGCTCGTGAGAATTTAGGGGCAGAATATTTCCCCAGTATCTAATCCTGTCTTCTGTGGGAATTCATGGTTTAAGTAGTTGAGTTCTTTTTCAGTATAATGGCCACAGGCCCAAGTACAATATAGATACATGTATTATATACAAAGGGTGGTACAATATGATATAGTATATTGGCATTTATACTGAAATAAACTTCAACTAAGTTCTTCCTGTGAGACAAGGTTGGTTAGCGTAGTGGTTAAAGCGTTCGCTTGTCACACTGAAGGGTACTTGGGTGGAGCTCATTTCTGGTGTTCCCTGCCATGATATTGCTGGAATATTGGTAAGAGCAGTGTTAAAGCAGAGTATGCTTTTCACTCACTCACTCACTCACTCACTCACTCACTCACTCACTCACTCACTCACTCACTCACTCACTCACTCACTCACTCACTCACTCACTCACTCACTCACTCACTCACTCAATGTGGAATAACAGCAGCAATATTTGCTGACTACTGGTTAGACCCCATTCTCTCACTGTAGAATTCCCCTATTGGATAATGAATAGTTGATAGAGGCTTACACGCTGGCACCAGTTAAAGCCAAACCATGATTCTCATTAGGATCTCCATGCCAGGTGCGACTCTAAGCCCCCAGTCTGCTGTTCTACATTCTACTGAAACACCTGGAAACACCTTATCCCCAGCTATGTTACATAAACCTTCTAGCGCCCCTAGGCAGCATGGGTTGTATACTGCCCAGGGAGTTGAGAATGACCATCTCGTGGAAGGTCAGGCCTACACGTATTTAGGGATGCAGATTAGGGACAAACTCCAGAATGCTCATATCAAGGACAAACTTTGGGCTGAGTACACATATAGACTTAAGAAAATCTGGAGTTCAGAGCTGAATGCTCGCAATAAAGTTAAAGCCACAAATACTGATACTCGTCCTTTCATATTCTTTTGGTGTTGTTGATTGGACGAAACAAGAAATTCAGAGGATCAGCAACCTTGCAGAGTCCTTCGTTTGGATGAGATCGGCTTGGCCTGAAAAGTGAAACAGAAGGCTGTCTGTTTGCTGCTCAGGACCAGTCACTTCCACTTCGAAACTGTCATTGTGTGATTTTGCATCAAAATGTAAATATGAAATGTAGATTATGTAATGAATTTAATGAGACTGTCCAACACATTGTCAGTGGATGCCCAGCTTTGGCACAAACACAGTATCTTGAGCGACATGATAGAGTGGCTCGATCATTTTATTACCGTCTTCGCCATGCTTG